AGATGAAGTCTCACTCTGTCGCCCAGGCTGGAGTGCAGTGGTGCAATCTCAGTTCACTGTAACCTCCACCTCCTGGGTTCAAATGATTCTCCTGCCTTAGCCTCCCAACTAGCTGGGATTACAGGTGTGAACCACCGCACCCAGCCTAATTTTTGTATTTTTAGTAGAGACAGGGTTTCACCATATTGCCCACGCTGGTCATGAACTCCTGACCTCAAGTGATCTACCTGCCTCAGCCTCCCAGAGTGCTGGGATTACAGGCATAAGCCACTGTGCTGGGCCTTAAAAACTTTTTTCAGTGGCCTCACACAATCAATCTCTCATTTAGATTAGTCACATATATGCTGATGTTTTCATCACAATGAAAAGAAGGAAAAAAGATGTTTCAGAAAATAGAATCCATGAAGAGGCTAGTAATCAATCCTCTGACCACAGAAAATCAGCAATACACTGCTAAGATCACAATATCATAACAAAGAGGTATAATAAATTTTTTCTAAAATACCCAATTCATTTTTACAACAAATCACACTGATAAATGTTTCTAAATGATTAATGTATTTTCACGTGAGGTTATTAATATTTATGCTTTTCTGATATTAGTTTTTTCCTACTCTTACTTCAAGGTCTGACCATAAATTTCTGGACTGTCTCAAATATCTCAAGGGCCAGGAATAAACCACAAATGTGGCAATTCATCAACATTTATTCTCACCAATGCAATAACTAAATCTGTCATGAGGTTAATTTCTCCTGATTTGTATAAAATAATCCCACTAATCTATGAAAAATCATGATCATATTGATTTTTCTCGGGCTCAAACCCTTAAACAAATCTCTTTGATTACTTTTTAGTGTAAAGAAAACTGAGTGCATTTTATATTAATATTTAAACTACTGATACCTGTAAACAAAGTAGCATTTATTAAAATAGAATATACACTTAATTTATACTAAATTCCAGGTGATTTATACAAAGTTTTCATCCTTAATTTTTAAAGGAACACAACATGATTTTTCTAAACATTACAAGTATATACAAAATTGAAATATGTCATTCAAGCCAGATTGTGATTTTAAAATAACAAACCTCTAAATAGCCAAATAATGTACAATGTGTAAAATTCCAATTAAACACAGGTATAATTCTTATAGAAATGTTGGCCCTATAATACTGAGCGATATTTACAAGCAAACATGATCCAAACGGCACATGCAGATTCAGGGTAAGTAAACACTCGGACACGAACTGCCAGTCGCACTTGGTCTCCACGGCAACAGATTATTTCTTCACAGAAGGGAGATCTATTTAAGAAAAAAAATATATTCAATTAAGAAGTGACCATGCACTTTACTTTCTTATTTCCAAGTAAATCAGTATTTAAAATAATTTTTTCAGGCTAGGCACAGTGATTCATGCCTGTAATCCCAGAATTTTAGAAGGCTGAGGCAGGTGGATCACCTGAGGTCAGGAGTTCAAGACAAGCTTGGCCAACATGGTGAAACCCCATCTCTACTAAAAATTACAAAAATTAGCCAGGTGTGGTGGCAGGCGCCTGTAATCCCAGCTACTTGGGAGGCAATTCATCAACATTTATTCTCTTGACCCGGGAGGCGGAGGTTACAATGAGCCAAGATTGTGCCACTGTACTCCAGCCTGGGCAACAGACTGAGACTCCATCTCAAAAATAAATAATAAATATTTTTTTCAAATTCTGTCAGTGCTATCAAAGACACTGTAATTTTGGTCAAGCTATTCAAATCATGGACAATTTCTGTATTGTCCAAACAAAATCAGAGATACCTGACTGAGACTGTACCAAAATCACTGGGAAAATAATCCCAGACTATCTACAGCTACATTTCAGACCTAATGAATCAAAATCTGTGGCAAGGAGGGTAAGTCATTGTAAAAGATCCCATGTGACTCTGATGTCATTCCTAAATAACTACCAGATTAGGCCAGATACAATGGCTCATACCTGTAAGCCCAGCACTTTAGGAGGCCAAGGTGGGAAGACTGCTTGAGCCCAGGAGTTTCAAGACCAGCCTGGGCAACACAGGAAGACCCCCATCTCTACGAAATAAAGAAAAAAAATAGCCAGGTATGGTGGTGCATGCCTGTGGTCCCAGTTGCTTGGGAGGGTGAGGTGGAAGGATCACAGGCCCAGGAAGTCAAGGCTGCAGTGAGCCATAACTGTGCCACTGTACTCCAGCGTGGACAGCACAGTAAGACCTTGACTTTAGAAAAAAAAATGAAAATAAAAAATACCCTACCAGACTGATCTCTAAGATTCCAAAACTGAAAACATGATTCCATAAATTACACCTTACCGAAGACATGTGGCAAATGCACGTCTTGCATTTCTATACACAAAATGTATTGGGAACCCTTTAAATGTATGACCATCAGGTACAGCCCTTCTTATGGCATCTTGAAATTCTTCATTGCCTGCTGATATACTTGTTGTACGCTCAAATTCATAAGAAGCCAAAGCTGGTGATAAAAGGTAGGACAGCTGGTCTTCCCAAACAGTAGTTAGACCAAGATCCTATAAGCAATCAAGAGAAAAAGAAAAAGTGAAATACATTAATATTTTTAAAACCAGCTAAATAAAAATGTTGATTATTTTAATGTATACCAAGAAAAGATTTTTAAAAGCTATCATAACATTTTAATAATAATTACAAGGATGCATAGAAATAAAAGTCAGATAAAAGGAACTATAGGTGGTCAGGTTTTACTTCTTAGAAAAACCAAACATTCAAAACAATGATGTTCATGAAGGCTCCAAATCCTGTACTTCTTTAATATCTACTAGAAAATACTATATGAAACAGTCCTAATACGGAGGAGACAGTGTTAGTGAATTTTGAGATATTTTACTTAACTTTAAAGAGTTTATTAAGATTGAATCTGTTTACTAAAGACTGACTGTTCCTACCATAAACTGAACTGCGGAGGGGAGCAAAGTCAACAAATGAATCCTATATGTAATTAAACAAATATTTACTGAACATGTACTCTATAAAACTTAGTGTAAAAGATAAAAAGATAAAGACATGTTATAGGCCCCTAGGGAGCTTAAAACATATTTCTACAGAACGTTAAAAACAACATGATTCCATTTATTATTATTTTTTAATTTTTTGAGACAGAGTCTTACTCTGTTGCCCAGGCTGGAGTGCGGTGGTGCAATCTTGGCTCACTGCAACTTCTGCTTCCCAGGTTCAAGCGATTCTCCTGCCTCACCCTCCCGAGTTGCTAGGATTACAGGTACCCGCCAGCACGCCCAACTAATTTTTGCATTTTTAGTAGAGACAGGGTTTCACCGTGTTGGCCAGGTTGATCTCAAACTTCTGACCTCAAGTGTTCCACCCACCTCGGCCTCCTAAAGTGCTACGATTTACAGGTGTGGACCACTGAGCCCAGCCCATGATTCCATTTATAACACTAAATGACCTATTGCTATCTAGACACATGAAGTTAAAAATAATATTGTTACAAATATAAAAAATTCTCAAAATTCTAGATATTTTGATTATCATAATAGATGTTTGGCATTTCCTTATTTTACATTCAAGGTAACTTGTCACAAATGATCTCAAAGGTCCATGATTAACAATGCTTTTCCCGTGGCAAAATATGAACCTTTGCTGATTTACAGGCACCCTTAAGTAGTGATCAACACCGGCATCTATCACAGCTTTGTTTTCTTTTTCTATAAACAGTAATTCCTTTTTTTGAGACAGGGTCTTACCCTGTCACCCAGACCGGAGTGCAGTGGCATAATCTCAGCTTACTGCAACTTCTGCCTCCCCAGCTCAAGTGATCCTTTCACCTTAGCCTCCAAGTAGCTGGGACTATAGGCATGTGCCACCATGCCTGGCTAATTTTTGTATTTTTTGTAGAGACGAGGTCTCACCCAGGCTGGTCTTGAACTCCTGAGCTCAAGTGATCCAACCATCTCAGGCTCCCAAACTGCTGGGATTACAGGTGTGAGATACTGTGCCTGGCCAAAAGTAATTCTTAGAAAATAAAATATTGCTTTTATTTATAAGCAGAACCTAAGAAAAGAAAGCTTAAGGTAATACAAGTGATGGAAGGAAAGAGAAAGTAATAAGGGGCTTTCATTTCCAGCAATATAATGGACCAGAGGTCTCCTGATCAACTCTTGCTTAAAAACAGACTACAAACTCCAGATTTTCCAAAAGATACATTTAAATGCTTTGATGAGTTGACAAGCGAATAAGAAATACACACGCACACAGACACACAGACACACACACATGTGTATATATATATAAATATATTTTTAAGACGGAGTTTTGCTTTTCTTGGCCAGGCCGGAGGGCAATGGCACGATCTCGGCTCACTGCACCTCCAATTCCTGGGTTCAAGCAATTCTCTTGCCTCAGTCCCCCGAGTAGCTGGAATTACAGGCATGTGCCACCATGCCCAGCTAATTTTATATTTTTAGTACAGACAGGGTTTCTCCATGTTGGTCAGGCTGGTCTCAAACTCCCAACCTCAGATGAATTGCCCACCTCAGCCTCCCAAAGTACTGGGATTATAGGCATTAGCCACCGTGCCTGGCCTGAATAAGGAATATATTAGAGGCCAAAGCTAAGAGTAACTGGGAACCCAGAGAACATGTTTGATAAATCAGTTTGCCTTTGACAGCCTCAAAGAACACAGAAAACACCCAAGGTAGAAAGTGGAATAAGGAACCCCAAAAGGTGAATCAGAAATAAATCTTTTGTAGGAATTTTGGATTCTAGTCTTTTAATGGTAATATATATTACAAATAACTTTTCCCACTCCACAGCTTCAATGTCTTAATGTTTTCTTTTGATGAACTTAAGTCTGTAAAATATATTAATCTTTTCCTTTATGACTAATGCTTTTTATGTCTTCCTTAAGGCACTTTACAAAGGAAATCTACATGCTATTAGACAAGAGGCTTGATCTGGCTGGGGGCAGTGGCTCATGACTGTAATCCCAGCACTCTGGGAGGCTGAAGTGGGTGGGTCACTTGAGGTCAGGAGTTCAAGACCAGCCTGACCAATATGGTGAAACCCCATCTCTACAAAAAATACAAAATTGACCGGGCATGGTAGCATATGTCTATAATCCCAGTTACTCGCAAGAGCGAGGCAGGAGAATTGCTTGAACCTTCATTTCTAGGAGGAAGCAATACACTCTATAAGCATTAATGAATTTGGGGATTTCTGAGTCTTAGAACTCTCATGACTTTCAAAATTACAATGTTAATAGTAGGAACTGTAGTTGCTTTGTTTGGGGCTAGAATACCGACTGGCACTATCACGCACGCCAAAAAAATAGTTAAATACATAAACAAATGAAAAAAAGTATGACACTACAACAATTTCAATGTGAATTACCTTCCTGTGTTCTGATACTAGGAGCCTCAGCTGCATTTCAATTTCATTACTGGTTACTGACGCGTCAATTGTGGATGCACACAGAGGTGGAAAGGGAGGAAGGGACGTTGTAGCTCCAGGAGCACACACAGATTTAATTGCTTCCTCACTCATGGGTTTCCATTTGGATTCATCATTCAAATCAAATACACAGGTTTCTACTGCATCAGAGGGTTGACAATTTCCCAGGAACATTTGATGGTTGAAAACACAACCAATTGTTCGATATGGGTATAATGGTTTGGGCTGTTCAGCAACTGGAGGTTCATCAGGATTGGTAGGTTTATGGATGTACCTAAAAAAAATTAAATAATTTTATATATGAGAACTTAAAAATTAAGAAGGCAGCATTTTACTGAGAAAATTATTCTAACACTTAAGGCCATAACTACTTCTCAGAATTGGAGTTTAATACTTGTTTTCCCTTTTCCTATTTCCACAATTTGATTACTCTGTATTAATTGTATGGAACATCTTATAATAATGAAACCAACTCTACTCCTTTAACAATAGAATATATTCTATGTATATTGTTAAGATCAAAGGCCAGGTGCGGTGGGGCTATAATCCCAGCACTTCAGGAGGCTGAGAGTAGTGGATCACCTGAGGTCAGGAGTTCAAGACCAGACTGACCAACATGGTGAAATCCCATCTCTACTAAAAATACAAAAATTAGCCAAGTGTTGTGGCATGTGCCTGTAGTCTCAGCTACTCGGGAGGCTGAGGCAGAATTACTTGAACCCAGGAGGTGGAGGTTGCATTAAGCCGAGATGGCGCCATTGCACTTCAGCCTGAGCAACAAGAGTGAAACTCCATCTCAAAAAAAA